CATCTTTCAGTTTAGTATCTCTTCTTCGTAGTTTTGTGTCTCTTTGTAGTGATTTAGCTTCATTTCATGGCTGTTTAGCATCTCTTCATCGTGGTTTAGTGTCGCTCGGCAGTGGTTTAGCATCTCTTCTTGGAGGTTAAGCGTCGTTTCGCGATAGTTTAGTGTCTCTGTGGTGGTTTTGTGTCTCTTTGTGTTGGTTTAGCATCATTTTGTGCATTTTAGCATCGGTTTAGTGTCTATTCTCGATGGTTAAGATTCTTTTTGTGGTGATCTAGCAGCTTTTTGTGGTGGTTACTCTCTGCGGGGGTTTAGTATCTTTTAGTTTAGTGTCTCTTCTTTATGGTGATTTAGTTTCATTTCGTGGCAGTTTAGCGTCTCGTCATCGTGGTTTAGTGACGCTCAGCAGTGGTTTAGCATCTCTTCGCGGTGGTTTTGTGTCTCTTCCTGGTAGCGTGGTGTCCTTTTGTGGTGGTTCAGCATCTTGTTTTGGTGGTTTTGAGTCTCTTTTTGGTAATTTTGTGTCTGATTTGTGGTCTCATGTCTGTTCAGGTGGTTTTGCTTTTCTTTGATTTGTCTGTTTGTGGGTCCTCCAACTTTAAACAACTGAACTAAACCCAAACCTAGACCACTCTCTAGCTCTAGCTCAGTGCAGGATGGTCTGGTTGTGCTTCATTATCACTCTGGTGTGTATTTATTTAGAATAATTGCAGCCATCTTGTGCTGAGGACAGGATGCAGCGACGGTGTTTCCTCAGAATACAAAGGAGCTGGTTTGGTGGAACGTTCACTCCACCGACAAAGTCCGCCTCATTGACCAGGTAGATGATGTTTCCTGTAGTGACGGGGGTCTTTGGTTGTTGGGCGTTTCTTCGTTGTGGCTTTTTGTCCCTTCACGTTGGTTTTGTGTCTTCATGATGTCGTTCTTGTTGTTTCTTGTAATGGATTTAGAAAACAGCGACTCATCGATAGAGGAAGGGATTAAAAACCAGTTTCCATCATTTGATTGTCACAGTTTAAAGTGTTTATCGCTCAGCGGTGATTCGTTGCTGTTTACCTGTGGACAGACCACCTGTATGTTCCACCTGTCGAGCCAATCACAGCGCAGAGTTTGTGTTTGGTGTTTGATTGGTTCTCCGACGAGCATCACGATGCAGGAAAAAAAAAAGCTGCTGCAGATGATGTTTGTTTTTGCCGAAATATTAAAAAGCAGAAAGAAACAAACAGTGGCGAGCTGCTGGTGCTCAGAGAGCGGAGGTGTGATTAGTGTCTGCAGCGGAACAGCAGGAAGCTGTTTGCACAAACGGTTTTACTGCTGTGATTGAAGCTTCATTACTGAGACTCCCACAGATTCAAACCCATTACTGACGATTACAACCTCTACAGGGTGTTCGTATGAGCTCACAGCGGCGAAGAAACATGTCTCCTCTGGACCTCGGAGACGCTCAAACTGCACAAAACACACTCAAATATAAAGGTCTCGTTTTAAAAAATAGGATTTTACAAACTGTTTGCTGTCACATAATCACAGAACGTGAATTACGCTGAAGCCCGACTGAATGAAAACCTCTTCACAGAAAAAACACATTCGTGGGTTTAACTGCTCAAAACCCCCAGAAAATAATAATCAACAGAAATGTAGTCGTTTTGACGAATTGCACAAATTAAAGCCACAGCAGAGGATCCTCCACACAGTCAGTCCACCACTGTGCCAAGGCCAATAAATGGCAAATGACTCCAAACATGATCAGCAGCAAGTGTTTCCCTCAAAGAAAAACTTTCTGAAGACCAGAGAGACATTCAGAAACTCAACGCTTCTTCTAGGTCGTCCTCAGACAAGCCCTCTATTGTTGTTTCCAGTCGTCCTGAATCTCCATTCATCTGGCCAACGCAGCAAAAGTAAATCAGCTGTGAACTGAAACTAAACAGAGTCACCTGTGATTTCTGACATGGTTCTGAAACGAGCTGTGAGCAGCAGAACCTTCTCCGTTCTGGACCTTTGAGCTCCACATGGAGAAGACCTGACAGAACAATCTGACTGTGATTCTTCACAAAGATGGAAAAGGATCCAGAAGATCAGCCCAGTGTGAGCAGGAACCAGGAGGTCCAGACGGAGCCACAGCAGCACTGATCAGGGCTGCAGTGGTCGTCCTCCTACAATGACTCCAGATGTTCAACTACTTTCACAATCCAGCTGTGAAAAACAGACGGCATCGAGGTTATCAATGGAAACCAGAGGTTCTGTGGAGCTCAGACAGTGTGAAGAACATCAGCCTCTACGGACGGAGGACCAGAACTAAACCCTCGTTTGCTCTTCGGTCCAAAACATGAAGATGAAACTTTCCTAAAGGACATGAACAGAAGCCTGATGGATGTTGGAGAACGTTCTCTGGTCAGATGAAGATAAATGTGTTGGGCTCAGATGGAGTCCAGATGTTTGGTGTGGACCTGAACCAGAACCACCACAGTGGAGCACGGAGGTGGCAGCATCATGATATGAAGCTACATGAGGGCAGAAGGTCACATTTCTAGATGCATCATGAATGTTTGTGGATAAACACTGAGGACAAGACGACTCCCCGTCTGCAGAAACTCAAGGAAGAAGAAGAATATTCCAGCATCCAGAGAACAAAAGTGAAACTTTGACCTGGACACGTGGCAGCAGAGCGTCTTTGGAGATGTTAAGGATGAAGGTAGAGCAGCTCCACCCCTCCAGAATAAAATAGTAAAAACAGAGGATCTCTGCAGACATCAGTGGACTCTGGTGTGTTTCACGCTGAGGAGGATCGAGTCCATCATCAGAGACAACATGAAGACAAACTACAAGACCTGAGTCCCAGTAAAGACTTGAACTGCTTTTGCTTCCTGCTGTGGGGCCTGAGTTTGTCCTACAGGAAGTCTGAACTGATGGTTTTTATTTTCACATCAGAGTAAAAACTGTAGTTTGGAGGTGATGTGATGGAGCGACTGGACGTTCAGCGGCCAGGTGTTCGCTCGCTGCTGCTCTGTTCTGACTCGCCATCTGCAGCAGACACAGATTTCAGCGTCTTTCTGAAATGAGAGTCTGACTTGATGAAGAAAAGACAATCAGCAGCTGCAGAGATAAGAGTTTAATAACGGCTGAGCTGTCAGCAGGTAAAGCAGCGCTGACGTGAGCGACGGCTCGGCGTGGCGACGGAGGAGGCGATTATTGAAAACGGCGCCGATGCTTCACTGAACACGACATTTATCAACAGTTTGAGTCAGAGGAGGACGTTCAGGAGGAGGCTGCTCGTGAATCGTGGCCCCTGGTCCCGTCGGCGGCCCCCGTGGGAAGGACTGTCGTCAGCCAGAGAAAGAGACGAAACACACGACGCAAAGAGACTGAAAATAACTACAAACACACGACAAACCAGTATTTAGAGACACAAAACCACCACGAGGAGACGGAGAGCTGCAAAAATACAGCAAATGGCTGCAAACGGATGCAAAAGGCCAATAAAGAGACACAAAACCACAACGAAGAGACACAAAACCACAACAAAGAGACACAAAACCACAAC